AACATTTGATAAGATAACACATTTACCTCATTTCAGTATTGAAATTTAGGCTTTTTGCTATCCTCGAAAGTAGCTATTTAACTTGTAGTAAATCCCTCGGGGCAAATCTTTTAAGGTCCATTCCGAAAGTTGATACGAATATATGAGCCGAAATTCACATGTTTCAACGGGATAACCGCCTTATATCCACAAACTGCCAGTAGGCAACCAGTACCGTATAAGTGTTGCAGGATTCGCCATGCTGACAGCACAGGTACTAGCTAAAAAGTCAGGCACCTTTTTTGCTGACTTTTGCCAACTTTCGGACCAAGACTGAAGAGGTCATTCCCGAAAGATTTACGCCAAGTTAGCGAATTCTTTCTTGGGATGAAGAAAGAGCTGAAATTTCGAAACTGAAGTAGATACCAGAATGCACACACGGAACGCTGGGAAACCCACTGATAGGTCGAATCCCTTGTAACTGTGTCATGCAGCGAAAGGAAGATTCGGCGAAGCAGGTTTCTGAACTTTGAGTCAGTACCTTCAGCATGGTGAATCACGAAACATTTGTATATTGCTGAATGCCTGCTGGCAGCTTATGAATACTAGGCGGTTATCCAGCCTGATGCGATTCAAGCGAAATAGTCATATCAACTTTGGGGCCGAGTCTAAAAAGGTATGTCCCGAAAGATTTACTCCAAGTTAGCACGTTAAATTTTGGGATTAAAAATCCGAAAGTTATATCAAGGGCTTGACCGTCTTAGGAACGATTTCGAAGGAACCATATTACATTAGTTTGCCTAGGAGGGCGTCCTATGAGTACTCCAAATGATTACGCGAGTTTTTAATCAAGGATATCAAATCAGATAATCCAGCAACCACGCCACTTAAGAGTGTCTTGAACATCAGAACGGACTGTTCGCCTTGCGATGATTATACTGACCATTGCCAGATCTATTATCTTATTCATGTACCAGTATGAACAACAGAAGTAATATGCTCTCTTCTTTGAACAGCTTGTCGAACGAAGCTGGCCTAATATGTGCTCATAAGTCACATCTAAAGAAGTCATAATTAACGTTTGTCCTTTAAGTTTTGACCCTATGACAAGCGTTATTGACACATCCGTCAAACGCATACTGGAAGCCATATAAGGCCAAGTGAACGAGTCGGTCGTTCATTGGATAAGTCGGCGACGATTATACGAAAAGCTGATTAGACCACAGGCTATGACCTTGGCAACGTGAAGTATCGACGAGGACGGTTACGGAAGGCGTGAAGGTGTGGTTCAGTTCGGCAAGCTCGCACAGCGTGGCTTGATCATTAGCTTAGGATATGAGTGCCGGCTTGTCGTTAAAACTCTTTGGAGAAGTTTGCAAGTATTTTTTATGTTTAAAGACATCATTTTGCACTTGAGAGGGATTAGACCATACCCGATTAATTAAATAAGTTGGCAGAAATATAAGAAAAGAGTGTTTGGGATGCATTGATTCATTGAGAGTGGCACTGGGATCTTCCTATCAGTCCATTAGATTGATTGAAAATGCTCACCCCAGAAGCTCAGAGAGGTGTTTGCCTTGATACTATTATTCCTTACACGGTCTGCTGAAAATGCCGACCGGACTCGTGGCAGACAAGACTATTCAGTCACTCCTCATTTCCAAGTTTTTTTTGAAAATAAGGGCAGTCATAGAATCGCTAACCAGAAATAAACAAGACTTGGCATAGAAGCATTTCTTGTCAGATCAAGAAGCATTAACTTCGGCAGAAATTTGATAGCAAAAAAAATTAAGACACTGATCAGTCTGCTGCGAGAAAGGGTTTTTCACGAATTGGTGAACTGTCAAGTTTCCCGCAAAAAAATCACTCAGGTATTTGCAGAAATGAGAACGAAAGGTTTGAGGAGTAAGATTTTTGGAGCAGAACGCCTGTCCTTATTTTTTAATCCCTACTGACGAGCATTGTCACGATGAGCAAATGTAAGGGTTACGCACTTAAACTCTGTGAACCACCCGGCGCCTGACTGCACTGCCATGCCGCGACGTCTTCAACGAATAGGTAACACAGAACAGACGCCATCGACTTGCTTTGACTCGATTTTGGCACCAGAAGTTATTTCTCCTCTACATACTATTTCAAGACGTTTCGGACTGTCCTACGGGCTCAGCTTCTCCGTACGGTTCTCAATTACCTAAAGAAACAGACCTTTTTATCCATAAAAGAAGTACTTGAAGGGTCAAGTATACCATAAGTTTCTTTGGGACTAAGTGCTTCAGCTCTAATTCTATAAGGGACCAGTTAAGGTTGGTAAAGGTTGATTTGCCTATTAGCAGCCCTCCTGTCAATTAAAGAATTATTCAGCAGGCATACGCCTCATCTTTGCGCTTCAATGTCTCTACTAAATTGGGACTTATCCTTTGGACCCCTTCGACCTGGACACTGACGTTAACTTCGAATGTTTTTAATCAGATCTAAACGATCTTTTACTGATGAAATACCTACGTAGCTTTCACGCGTTCTCAACAACTTTTCGTCCACATTCGGATTTGTATTAAACGGGTATATACAAAGGAATAAAACCCATTGTTAGTTGCTTCGGCAAGAATAATAAAAAGTTGATAAAGATCAACACTTCCTGCGAGTGGCATCCGCTAATCTAACCTGGTTCCCAGTCTTTCTGTAAATATTTTTAATCGTGGAATACAGACAGTGAATCCGTCGCTCAACTTGCTGAAGGTTAAGCTCAGTGATAAACGGGAACTGACTTCAGGCTGAGCTATAACTGACTGACGATAGGAAATAAGTCAGCAATAAAAATGCCGGTTTCCACTGTCTTTATCATGTATAACTGCCAATGGTCCTTTTGAACTTCAGCTGCAACGGGTACCACGCGGCTTGTGCGGCAGCACCAACACGACGCTTTTGGTGAAGTAAGGACTTTGTTTCATGAAAAAAGACAGGGTTCGTAGGGAAGGAATCGAGTTTTACTCGTGAATTTTCAAGATCGTGACACCAGCTTGTTGTCAGGCGGAATGAAAACAAGGGAGAAAGTGAGATTATCAGACTAGACCAGTCGGCGCGACAGGACAAACAGTGACAGACCGACCATTAGTGCGTGCGAGGGATGGGATGGGCACAGCCACAGTAGGTTTCTGAGCGGAGAATGGAAAGGAGGGCAGTTACGGCTGCCTGTGATGGAGGGAGGAAGGGGATGGTGGATCATTTGGACTGCAGACGACTGCACTAGCAGTCGTTGATGTGAGTTGGAGGAAGGAGTCAGTGGGCCGTGATCGTAAGCTCTAATAATGGGCGTCCAGGTCAACACGGTGGACGATAATTCCCGCAATGAAGTACCAAGCCTCGAGAAAGTTTCTCCCTTTTTTGTGCTGACTATGTAGAAGGCTTCAATATCATCTCAAATGAATTGATGTTAGCGTTGGAGTGCTTGCTCAAAAAACGTGTACGTCATTACCTGCGTCACTGTCGATATTAAGATGTATTCCTCAGCTGGAATGCCAACGGTAATGTAAGGTTATCCGACCTTGAGTATGGTTTTACCCAGCAAATGAAAATTCCCATGATAGCTAATACAAATAAACCCCTCCCGGTGAACGCCCACTCTTCTTTTGATATGCCACCTGGGAATCGGATTTTCACTACTATTGATGTGAATTACGGGCGCGAAGCGCTTCAAGCGGCGATCACACAGCAAGGCAAGTGCAAGAAGCCTGGATGTCCACCGACCGCTCTGTCAACCGCCACATCAATTTGCCTCCCCCTTATCTGACTTTACGAACTTTCTTAGCGGGGGACAGTCACGGCGCGGGACAATCGGGGCCGTCAGTCATCACCGCGGCCGACGGGGGCGATTCAGGTCACGGTGACATGCGGGTTGGATGCAGCCACACAGGCGGCATTGGCGCATCACACATTGGACAAAGGGCGCCATAATAAGGAGTGCTGTGCACAGGACCTCCCAGTCCCTGAAGATGGGTAGACGAGTAAACTACCCGAAACGTCGGATTTCAAATAAACCCCTCCCGGTGAACGCCCACTCTTCTTTTTTGCTAATACAATGGGTTTAGAAAAAAATACAATATAGTCAAGTGGTAAGAGGATTTTATAATTTTTTAAAAATATTGTTAGGTTGTAGACAGCAATCCTGGACCATCTCTCGATAAACAACCTCCGTCTCTACAATGACCACGAATGAGGTACGCCCCAGTCCTGTATATGTTCTTTTTTAAACTTTTCAGTATAAGTTCTTGAGGCAGGCATACACAGCAGACTTTAATGGTACCAACAGATTTCGCGATGGCCTATCAACTGCAATCCTTCGCTGCATAACACAGATAACGAATACGAAAGATATAGCGATTTGAATTGGTACAGAAAAATCAATGCGAAACAGCAGAGTCGTCGTTCACTGCACACGGACTAGGCGATGAAAATGGTAACATAAAAACGCAATTTTAGAGAGGAAAAATGAAGAAGTTAACACCCAAAGGGATGTGTGTGTGTGCGTCCTCAACCGCCCCTCCACCATTTCCGACGCCGCCATCGCCTGCTTGCCGCAAGTGGAGACCAACGTGGACCTCGACCTTCCGCCCTCTCTATTCAGGAAACCATCAGGGCCGTGCAGCAGCTCTCCAGCGGGAAAACACCCGGATCGGACGCAATCCCTGCTGAGGTCTATAAGCACGGAGGTCCCCAACAAATGGATCACCTGACTGCGCTCTTCCAGGAGATGTGGCGTCAAGGTGAAGTCCCGCAAGATTTCAAAGACGCAACCATCGTGCACCTCTACAAGCGAAAAGGGAACCGCCAAGTCTGCGACAATCACCGCGGCATCTCCTTGCTGAACATCATCGGAAAGATCTTTCGCTCGCATCCCCCTCAATCGCCTGAATAATCATCTGTAACAGGGCATTCTGCCGGAAAGCCAATGCGGCTTCCGTCGTCATCGTGGGACCACGGATCTGATCTTCGCCGCCCGTCAACTTCAGGAGAAGTGCTAGGAGATGCGGACCCACCTGTACTCTACCTTCTTGGATCTGACGAAAGCCTTCGACACGGTGAATCGTGAAGGACTGTGGAAGATCATGCAAAAATTCGGCTGTCCGGAGCGATTTATTCAGATGGTGCGTCAGCTGCACGACGGCATGATGGCGCGAGTCACGGACAACGGAGCTGTCTCAGAGGCATTCGCAATGACCAACGGAGTGAAGCAGGGATGCGTTCTGGCGCCTAACCTCTTCAGTCTTATTTTCTCTGCCATGCCGATGGAAGCCTACCGCGAGGAACGCCCCGGGATCCGCATCGCCTACAGGACGGACGGTCAACTTCTGAATCAACGACGGATGCACTTCCAATAGCGCGTATCCACAACCGCCGTTCACGAACTTCTCTTCGCCGATGACTGCGCCCTGAACACCACCTCGGAAGAGGAAATGCAACGGAGCATGGACCTATTCTCTGCCGCCTGCGAGAACTTCGGTCTGGTCATTAACACGCAGAAGACGGTGGTGATGCACCAACCGCCACCCCACTCAGTCACATCTCCCAACGCGCCGCCGCAAATCAGCGTGAACGGAACCCGACTGAAAGTGGTGGAGAACTTCCCGTACCTGGGCAGCACCCTATCCCGCAGCACTGAAATTGATGACAAAGTCGCTCGCAGGATTTCGAAAGCCAGTCAAGTCTTCGGTCGCCTCAAAAGTACAGTTTGGAATCATCATGGTCTCCAACTCCGTACGAAGCTGAGGATGAACAAGGCCGTCATCCTGCCGACGCTGCTGTGCGGAGCGGAGACTTTGACAGTGTGCACAAAGCGGGCACGCCGACTGAACCACTTCCACCTCAGTTGTCTTCGCCACATCCTGAGGCTGAGCTGACAGGATCGCATCCCCGACACTGATGTACTGGAACGGACGGAAATCCTCAGCATCTACACCATGCTGAGACAATTGCATTTGCGTTGGAGTGCCCACCTGGTGCGCATGGACGACGAGCGACTACCCAAACGACGGAGACGTCTCCACGGGTTCTTGCCGCCAAGGAGGCCAAATTCGTCGTTACAAGGATACTCTTAAGTCCTACCTGAAGAGTCTGCAAATTAACCCGACCAACTGGGAAGACCTCGCCCACGACCGACCGACCTGGAGGAGGACAGTGAAGCCAGCCGCATCGTCGCAGATTAAAGATTTTATATCCGGTCAACTTACCTGAACCGGACGATATTCCAGGCGTACTCCTATATTGACTAGCTGAGGAAATAGCCAAACGTCTTCTGAAAATCGCTTGAGACAGGCAAAATTCCTGATACATGAAAGTCGAAAAATCTCGCACCCAGCAAACAAGGGAGGATCCCAGCTATATCCCGCCAACTACCGATTGGCCAGCCTAAAATGTATACGCTGTAGATTAATGGAGAGAATGATTAAAAAGCAGTTATATCACTTGATACATTCTGATGTCCAATCAGCCCAACTCGGCATGGTTTTTGCGAGGAGAGGTCCTGTCTCACAAACCTCCGTGCATTTTTTGAAAGTTGGTCAAAGACTGTGGATAAAGGACATCCAGTTGATGTAATTTACTTTGATGATAACAAGGCATCTGATTGCATCCCACGAAAGCGCCTCAGCCAAGGAATATTGGACTTAGGGGTTAGAGGAAGACTCCTAAACTGGATTCCCGATTTCGTAACTGATCGTAGGAAAAAGTTACTGCCGGTGGCTACTGTTCAAAATGAACGTCTGTTAAAAGTGGAGTTATACAAGGATCAGATATCGGGTCACCTCCAAGACCTGGCACAGGAAGTGAAAGTTCATATAGCGCACTTCACAGATGATCTTAAGCTGGGGAAAGTAATCAAAGATGAAAGAGATTCACAGAACAGAACGTAGGAAGGCTGTAGTCAAGGAGCGGGCTCTGGTGCATGAAATTCAATGTCGACAGATGAGTACTACTGCACATACTGTCAGCGAGCTGAAGAAGAAACGCACCTTCACGGCAGTATCTCTCGGAAAACCAACTACTTAAGACCGAAAATGCGCAAAAAGATCCTGGAACATTCGTTAAAAATGATTTAAGCGTCACAGCTCGGTGTTCCAAATCCGTAATGCGGGCAGCGTCAACCATGAGGGCAATACGCGGAATGTTTGTCAATCTGGATGCAGATATCTGCCATAAGGTATACGGAGCATTTGTGCGGCCACACCTAGAATATACGGCTCAGGCCTGGCGGCCGCGGCTTCGGAAAGACATAGATATTCTTGCAGGTGCACAACGACGTGCTACAAAGCTTGTTCTTGAACTTAAGAGTTTGGCGTATAAACAGCACCTAACCAACGTTAATCTCTGTCCCTCCGCTATGGAGAGGACAAAGATGGCCGTATACTAACGGTTCAGTTTTTACAGGGAACCGATCCTGATGTGGACTGGGGAAATTTTTTTCCAAATGGAGCTGAGGTCTAATGTTCGACGTCATGATTGCCAGTGGAATTCTTTATTAACGTATGTTGTGCATTCTACCGATGTGAGTGTGTATAAGAGGTGTCTGGATGTTCACTTGTTAAAGGTTAGTCAGAACTCCCCAGCCTCCGTCCATTGAGTTATCATTGTGACTATCAACATGCTACTATATTGATTTCAATAACCCATTTTGTTTCTATTAACTGCAACGCTGCCAAACATTGCGTGCAAATGCAGTGAATGTGTAGTTCGCTGTTCTTTCGCACTCCTGTTTCATCACCAGTCCTGTGCATCTTGCATACTAAAATTTCCTGTGAATTTTTACAACCTAACTGCTTTTTATGAAGACGTGTGTCATTTAAATGGAATTGTCAAGGGCTTCTGTCACTTACCTCAAATACACTGACTGATAACCGGTACAGGTAAGCTAATCCTTTCATAACGAGATCATCGCTGCTGCAATAGCAGTAGGACCCATGGAAGAGAGTTCGGACACAGCCTCTTTTTCGAGCTGCAGGGTGGTTATCCCTATAATTTTGGATGGTCCTGGCGTTAGATCGTTTCCCATAACCTTGTTTTATTGGATTTTCCTTTTGTCTGAGAACTGTCTCGACAGCCTCGGTGATGGATGACAAGATTGAAGAACTACAGAATGCCAACAAGCGAGATAACTGACCAATGAAAAGACTATTATAGTAAATATCCAGGGTAATGACTGGTTTGCTGAAAAAAAGATGCTATATAAACAATAAAGGGACAGACAGTGGAACTAACGGGTACGGCGATGACGAAGTGTTAAGGGCCGTCTGAAGTGCGCCGAAAGACCGGGCCCAGCGTACCGTTCCTCGACATACGCGTGTTTGATCTTTCGAAATGACTACCTGTTCCCAGAAAACCCTAAGCTCTAGCTCGGGCACAAATGTTAGTTCTGTCGCATTGTATCTGGAAAATTTTAATGATTGGCGGATCTGCGCAGACCGAACATTGTGTCGTTTGATGTGAACTTTCGCCTCCTCTAGATTTTGTAAGACACAAAGTACAAAATCTCCAACGAAATGCGAGAGAGAGAAGATAATGAGGAGCAAAGTTAATCAAAGCGCGTCCTTTCTCCCGAACTGTGGCTTAAGCCGTATTTAGCAGTCGAAAGCACCACCTTTCAACAAGTAAAAAACCCTCTCATTGAATTGACACTATGCGCTTTCCTAGTTGTAGCTGTAGCTCTTCCTCGAAAACTAGGAGTCTAAAAATACGAAAACTGAAATTTCGGATCCGGCATTATGATTACACCTTCGTCATCCTGAATCAGAAAGTGGCTTCACAATCCCAAGCAATCCTGACTTTCACCTTTCAGCATGCCCAGTTCAGGATGGAGATGTACCCCACCCGTTTGCCATTCCCGGACAGGTCTTTTCACCGAAAGGACAATAAACGTCCAGGGATGACGGTATACACAAAGATTACCAACGTGCGTTGAATCCTAACTTGTCCCAAAAATTCTACGTTATCCGACGAGAGCGGCGATTTACGAACGTACACTGGAGTGAGGCGGACGACGAACTGGCTTGCATCCGATACCTCCAGTGCCTGATCATAGATTTCAGATGGCAGGGTAGTTCTTGCGTATGTAATTGACAATCAAGAGGAGCCGAATATTCGATAGCAAGGGGACTCCAAAATCTCGCGAGCGCTGGCAGAATCAGCAGCACATCTCCTATATTGATATCGTCCGCATATTCGAAAAAATAGTTAACAGGACGCAATGATGTCTAAGAATTCCCTGCCAGGGGGCGAAACATCCTTCGTCACCTATCTCATATGGTGCTCCCCCTGCACAGTGAACTCACCGGACCCTAGCAGTTAGCCTTGGTCATTAGAACAACGGGTACAAGGCGAGTGGAGGATGAGGAGGACACAAGTAACATCGCTATCTCCAGCGTCAGTTGGAGTTTTCGATATGTCTCCCCACACCCGGTAGTCCTGTCACCTCTGCTTTCCTTGCCCGCAAAAGTAAAAATTCTTACGACATTAGCGACAGCGATCTGTGGACATCCCGGGCTATTTCTGTCGGTCTTCCCACTACTCAAAAGAAGTAGTCCATAATGGAATTCGGCAGCTGCCTGGGATGGCTAAACAACCCTATTTGGGGGCAGCACTGTTTATACCTCCTCGCGAGAGGTGGGGCTAAAAAATGTGTCCTATATAAACGCTGGATAATCAGGTTGACCGCAAGCTGGACGTGGCTCGTGGACGTAAAATATGCAGGTCGGAAATAAATATGAAATCAAACCTCCCGTTCCTGCCTCCATGCCCCAAGGGCTGTCAGAACGACGCCTGCAGTCTGGAATGTTCGTTCTCTTTTCTCTTCGTTCTCGTCTGGTTTCTGTCTAACAGGTCGCATTATGTGGATATTCGCAACAAATGGGTCCTTATTACTAGAGGATCAGCGGGTATTGGATTGGCTTTGGCTCATGGGGCTGTTAAACGTGGAGCTTATGTGACGATTGTTGCTCGCAATACTGCTCGCCTTAATGAGGCCAAACAAGAGCTCTCTCGGTTCGCAGAAGATGCATCCAAAATCTCTACCCTCTCCATGAACCTGTGTCGACTGTTTGAGGAAAAAAGACAGTGTTATGAATCACATGCATATGTCGTAGATTTACTTGTAGCGTCTAAGCGGTGTGAAAGTGTGCACTCAGAGCGCTACAACATCAGGCCAAATCGCCTGTTCCAGGAAAAGACAGAAGCCACCAGGATGCGGGGTGTATTGTACACAGAATCCCAAGTTGTGCTTTCAGGTGGTAGTGACCGCCGGCGAAGCCAAGGCTAGTGTTGACTGCGTCCAGTCATGCCTATGAGTCCCTGAGATGGTGGTCGCAGTTGCTTTATAGGTTTATGGAACAATCTGAAGTGGTGACCAATCGATGTGTGTTGCATTCGCAGGGGGGTGGTGAGTTCAAGTGGTGCATGGAAAGCTGCAACTCTGTGGACGCGTGTGCGTCCAATTTGAAGTCAGTCGAGTGGCTGCAGGTCGGTGCGCCCGGAACCGTTTGTTTGACGCTTACTGACGCAACGGGATCTTGAGCATGGATGTTAGACATGGCCGTAATGACTGGCGTCAACACACTCATTCATTGAACCGGACTTGCCGTCACCAAGACCTTCTTACCAATTCCTGCAGAGGCTTTTAACAAACAGATGGCTCCCTTCTATTTGGGTCCTGTTCATTTGACCAAAATTAATTTGCCAAGAATGTTTAAACCTTCGGGAGATACCTCGATGAGGCCGAATGACATACGTATGGCACTTTTCAATAGTATCGGTGGCCAGACAAGTGCATATAGTTACTCGGACTATGCGGCCAGCAAATTTGCTGTAAAAGGTTTCGTCGCTGTTCTAAACCAGAAGCTGGAGCCAACGGGCC